CCCCCCCCCCCCCCCCCCCCCAAGAAATGGAGACTACTCTCACCTTTCTAACATTACTATCTAAATAAATGTTCATCTAGCTGATAAACTTAAGCATCTTATAAAAAAGAGATAACTAGACCAAATGTATCAGAACAACAAATGTATGGTCTTCATGTGTTTTATTTCTCCCAGCAGTAGAACATAATATATTATATGGTAAACCCAAGATCTTTTGAGTATGATTATCTTAACACATGGTTATGTTATATACAACTTGGCAATTTATAATATACTATAGCTCACAGCGCTTGGAAAGGTGATAGCATCGTACCGCATCTTGCAGACCACAAGCACCCTACAGTTTTGCTCAAACTAAACCTCCCCCCCCCCCCCAAAGCAATCATCCATGCCTCTTGTAACTGCTTATACATGTGTGCTCATGTAACTGCTTATGTACTTTTATAGACCTAGATGTTAATGAAGCATCCCCTCTGTCATGACCCAAACTTCTGAACACAGGAATTGGCTTGCCAACTAAATCCTTTATTCAATAATTATAATAATAAAAAGCATATGCATAATGCAGTTTCCCACTCAACAGCAAGCTTTATGTGCTTTTCAACCTATTATTACTTCAACAGACTTCAGCATTCTGAAAGAATCCCAAACTCAGGGGAAGCAAACAGTTCGCAATCGCATGACCTGTTCAAAAACAATATACAGGAGGGAATTTATATTCAGCTAAGCTTCATAATGTTTATACCACTGGCTTCTGCTCCACCTTAAAACAGGGCTGAAATCTCATTTTAAAACACAACGGAGTAGGGGTAGGGGGGGGGGCAGAACCATTTTATCATCTGGATCGCTTTGTCGTCTGCAAAACACTGTAATAATTTCGTCAACAAGAAATAAAATACTGTCTTTGGTCATGTTGAACCACTCCACTGGACACATCACAACACTATAAACGGCGCTCTCAAACTTGGCAACCCAAAAGTTAAGCACCAAAAGCACTCTGATACACGTTCAGTTTACACACCTTATCGTTGTTCCCTTTATGAAAGGAAATCTTCAGCATTGCCCCTAATATAATACATGTAATATACCTCTATGTATATAGTATTCAACACACCAGAAGATGAAAGACAGAATACTGTATCTGAGAAAAATAAAACAACCGCACATGAATCTGAACATGCTGATGACTGGCAAACAACTACAGCTGACATACTCAGATTCCTAACCTAACTACCAGATAAATATCTTACACCTGTATAATTGTGAAGTTGTTTCTTTTTATTTTAGTCCAAAGCAATCTTGCAAAACTAAAAGTTTACACTAGACTATGGCAAAAACCTACTTCTTCCTTTTATGTTTCATGGCCACACTTCGTAGCTTTCCCTTCAAATGATTCAAGTTCTTCGCACAATAATATAAATAATAATTTGAAGTAAGTTCTGGGTATATGAAAATTATGGTGAATATTACAAGCCAAATACATCAACCAGTGCATTACGCACACACAAAGCGATCAATATTGTGTAGAATAGATGGGCAGGAAAAAAATAAGAAGTAAAAGTCACGCACACACCAAGGAACTTCACATCACAGTGTCAATAGGATAACTACACTATACCTTGCAGTTCATTCATGCCCCCCCTTCCACATTCTTAGCTATCTCGCATGTTTCTGAATGGAACGGACAGATTAAATTATCAGGAAAAAGTGCTCATTTCACTCATCGTACTAGTACACCACTGGAATTTCAGTGAACCCAACAACCCCCCCACACAGCTTCATAGTTATCTGACTTTACTAATATTCTATGTTGGCTCGAGAGACATCAGTTGTCTTTCCAAAATCCTTTCTAAACCAGTCTCTTCAAACCAATTAAAATCGGACACAATTCAAAGGCATAACCTTGGAATAACTTCAAAAGTGTAAAAAAAGTTATCAATATGACTTCAATGTTCACATGATCTAAGTTTAATACAATTTTGGAGTTAAGAATACTGGACTGGCATTTTTAAAATGAGTTAAACACCATCTCTCTGCAGAAAGGAGGAGGTTTTAGAATTAACGCCCATCAAAAATAGAGGATGTAACTTAGAATATCCATAATTTTAAACTGATAGTTGATCTAATCTTAGAAAGCATGAAAAGATGGTTCAAGTGGAGAAGAAGTCTTGAAAGTCTAACAGAAAAATGGTTATGGAAAATGCCAAGCAGGTCAGTTGATGAGAAGCAGAAAAAGCAGTATTTTTGACAGGTGGAGAACACAGTGTTACTACACAACACCGTTATATATGCGGGGCAAGTAGAAAACAGATTTACATATTTTCCCTCCTAACAAACAGTTTAAATTCAAATTATAGCAACAGACAAGGGGTTACGAATAAGTATAAACAGCAATAACATATTTACGGTAATCAACATTCTACTCTCAATCTCAGACACACACAAGTGAAATTCTTAGATTTGAAACCGCACAAAAGCTGTTTGCGTTGCGACTCATCATTGTGTCAAGTGAGAGTGGATGAAAACTGACACTGTTCTACATGATACTGGGAGGAAGGAGACTACAGACTGAAGTAAAGGTTGACTTTGTGCGACCAAGTTTTTGAACCAGTGATGTTGCATTCAGGATATCGGTATTGCTATAGATTTGACAGATATGGGAACAGATTAGTCATTTCTAATTTCCTGCTCTTTCCTTCCAATTCTGCTGCTACCTTTCATTACTTTGCATAGCCAAGGGGAGTGATGATGAATAAAAATAAAAGTAATGTGTGACTTTGAGTTTCTAAACTCCCCCCCCACATCTGCATGATATATGCTACAAGACAGCTTAAGTACAGTGAAAGTCAAATAGAGAGTCAGAGAGCATCAGGCGACCAAGCTCATGCAGTTTCTTTGAGTTATGTTTTCTGAGATCAGCGGGAGCTTTGTCCATCAGATAAAAAACAATATCAGAAGTGTCTGAAGTCATTTCTCCTCTGATAAACATGAAAGCCTCCTTTCTGACAGAGTCACAGAAAGTCAAATCCCTAAATGAGACTTCAAATGCTAAAATATTGTATAAGCACAGGCAGCACCAACAGTTGCCCTTCCAAATGTACTTGGCTCAGATAAACTACTCTCATAAACTTTACCTGGATATATTGTATTCTGATATAAGACAGAAACACAGAAAAGTCTCAAGTTTCAGAAATTTGGATGCTTAGTTTAAGTTTAGTAGAGGTTTTACGGCGCTCACAAATGCATAAGGTCATATGAACGCCAGAAGATTAGTGGTATTACAAGAGAGTAACAAACATAAAAAAGAAAAAGGGGAGATAAGGACGATAGATGTTTGCTAGGAAAGAAGAAGCAAACCACACCAGAGCACCTGCCAACCAATGCGATACACACCCAATATTGAAAAGTAACTGGGAGGAAGAATGAGAGGAAGAAAAAGCCGGACATCTCAACTGTAATAAACAAAAAGCCTATATTTCAACCTATCGAGGTCAAGTCCGTGGCTTCTACTGCACACATTTCTCTAAGAGAAAAACACAAAAACTCTTTATACGTATTTCCACACCACACATAAATGTGCACAGTCTAGATTGAAAACAAAACCCTATGGAAAGCAGCTGCTCTTTCAGAAAAATTGAAAGACATCAGTCACTGTCCAGACTTAGACACACCAGCACAGCACAAATAAAAATCCACATAATTTTCCATTTGATGACTTATTTGTTGGAGATAAAAAAAATAAAAACAAAACCTAACAAGGTTAGATCACTGACCTCTCAGTATGCCACACAACAGCACTCGGCATAAGACAACCAGATCTGACTCAACATTTTTAATGATGTCTCACAAAAATACAACAGTTTGGACACTTTAATTTCGGTTAACAATTTGATAAACAAACAGGTATTTCTCTAGTGATCTAAAATCCTAAGGTTTCCGGACACAATCTTGTTCTCCAGTATAGACCCCATGGGAATGTCGATCTTCTCTCCGTGGTTGGCGATGATGATAACTGTACCCTGCAGGACAGAGGACATGCTCATCTGTTAGCATCCTGGCCCAACATGAAACTCTTTGAACAACTGATGGTAAAAGTGTTACACTTCCAGCGACACAAGTTAGACCAAAGATAGTGCATAACAAGATAGTTCACTCCGCTCTTCGAGCAAATTAAAAAAGTGTCCTCAAAATCCAGTGGTGCCCTCTTTGAAAAAGCGCACCCTTTGCGAACAGAGTTACCTTACTTATGTAAAAAAAAAAATCAGAGTGAAACTAACAAGTTTTTGAATAAATTAGAATACAAATTTCGAAAGAACGCTTTTTAAAAATCGTTACGCTGACAAAAAAACCTAAGAGGTGACTGTTTTCTTCATTTAATTCCACTTTAGAATTTAATCCCCCCCCCCCTCCTCCCAAAAAAAACAACCCCAAACAAAACAACAAAACCCCATAGGGTTCTTCATTTATCAGCCACAAACACCCCATATGGCATTCTTCGAGGTTCGCTCAACACAATCAACCCTTATACGGGGTGCCCACAGCCGATCGTCCGACTCGGTCGCCTGGAACTGGAAACAAACCGATCTCATCTGTAGTGGGCACCTTGTATGAGAATTAAGGGTGCGGCAGAACTGACCAAAAAAAACCTCCCCAAAAAACTGTGTTTACTCAAACAACAGGAGTCTTCTGGGAACTAAACCAGGTACTATTGCATCCAACGCAAGCCCTTTATCTCTTAGCACATAGACCTCTTTACTCATCCTCGCCTGCCTCAAGACTAACAGGCCTAAACTCATTTTTTTCTTAAGATGTCGTCAGTCATCTTTCTTGTCTTCTAGAAAAACACAAGTCTACTACCTTGCACACTGTTAAAATAATATCCTTACCCTGAGGCTGACATTTTTCCCAAAGTTGACATCCCCAGCGACTGTCAGATGGTCAAGCTCTATCAAATCTGGGATGCTGGCAAACCGCTTGAGAAAGTCTTTCACCTGCAATAAGAATACAAATGTAAAGAATGAACAAAGTGGAAAAAAAAACCCAGGAAAGATTGATGATAAATTTTCTTCAGGAATCATGAAAAGCAAGAAAGTTGACCATAGTATTAAACTGCACATTTTGGAGATGTTGAGAGGTGCATCGAGTTTTGGAAGGTTGTAAAAATTGAAAATTGCAACAACGAATAGCCTACATCTTCCCTATTGTTTCAGGTCAAAGTAAAGGCCTTTCAATCTCTTCAAATTGTGAATGATTGTGATAAATAGACATGAATAATAATAAAAGTAATGAAGAAGACGTCAACAGGAATGGAAATCAACAATGACAATAACAATAATAATAATGATGATAACAATAAAAATATCAGCCAAGAAACAAGAACAAAAATTATAAACAAGACTTTTTTAAAAATGATGACGACGCTAAAAAGAATAATAATAATAACAAAATGAAGATAAAGATGAGAGAGATGAAAATAATAGAACAAAAACAAAAATATATTAAAGAAAGAATAATTCAATGACAACAGAGGGCATGACATTACTTTTGAGAACTGGTGTCCCAGTTTGACGAGAGGCACGCTAGGAAAAGATCTCTTGGGCGACATCTCCAGGGCTCCCGTCTTCATGGCGTACAGATTGCTCATCACTATCAACAGGTCAGAGGTTGTCTTCACAGGCAAGAAACGACTTCGGGGTACGTTGATTCCTGTATGGACAAAGAGAAAGAGGGAGGAGATGACAAATGAAGAGTTATACAACTACACACTATAAAGCAGAGATTCTTAACTCTTTATTTCCGAGGGGGGGGGGGTGTAACCCCACTACGCCGGGGCCCTTTTTCAGTGCTAAATCACAAAAACGTCATTAAATGGGTCATAAAATCGAAAACTATCAACCCTATTTTGATAGTTCATCTAATGAATGAACTTCCGGTATAAGAGACCCGTTTTCGGAAATTGCCGAAAAGTAATTTGATGTCAAAGTCGTCGTAAAGGAATGTGCCCGAGCCGCTGTCAGCGGCCTATCGGCAGAGTGGTTCCGATAACGAGATGCTGGGAGCGGCTTGCCGGAGATAAAGATAAACCCTATAGGCCCAAGTATTCATTGATAGCCAACTTATCTCCTCTCCCCACTGAACGCATACCTCAGTTTTTAGCGGCATGAATCTAGACCAGAGGTGCCAACTTGCTACATTAAAAAATCTCAAATTTTATGGACCCTGCGGAAATGTGCATATGGAGACTCAAAATGTATGGAACATTTTGTCTAATAAACCCCATGTCAAGGTTCTTTTTAACTATATGGAGACTGGGCCTTTTTCGGGTCTACATACGCTGAATACTGGCGTTTTGGGGGGTATTTCAATACTTCAAACAACACCCTTCCCAAAGACATACAACCATCATTTTTACACATGCCCAAAATGACACGAAAAATGGAAATCACTATAATGATGAAATAACACACATCCATTATGTGAGTAAAACACTGGAGTGGGGTTGGGAAGTCACTTACCTACGGCATTTTCAAAGCTCTTGATGGCTGCACCCACAGCAGTCTCCAGCTGTACTACATTCATGCCATTTTCCAGGGTCTGAAATGTGAAGAGTCATGAGATCATTTGCTCGTACACTACCATAAGAAAAGACACACAGCATTAGACCATAATTCTCTGGGGTCAGGAAAGCGACCCGTACTTTACTGAATTGTGTATTTATAAACTATCATATAAAAAGACATATAGCCTTAGAATATATTCCTGGATCTGAAACCTGACAAACCATTAGATCCTTTGCTCACTAGTTAAGATACCATAATAAAAGATATACGGTATGGCAATATCATTCATTATGGTAAAAAAATTCCCTTAGAGATATGAAGAGCCTAAGAGTGTTCAAGAGTAGACTTTGTAGCAAAAGCAACACATTAAAAAAAATTCAGGGGTTAAGACTTAAGAAAAAGCTCCTGTCTCTGTTTAATTCGAAGTGAAAGGAAGCCCGTTAGAGAAACTATATACAAGTGTACCATCAGTGTCATGAATCTAGGCTAAAGGTAAAATGCTTAAATTGAAAAGAAAAACCAGCAAAAAGATATTTTTCTGACACTTGGGCATTATTTATTGAAGCTCTCTCTTTTTGGCCTCACACTTTTTATGTTTATTTAAAAGCATATTTCTATATGGATTGTACAGAAAAATGTTGATCAAAGGCACGAAAATGTAAATATGCAGTTACCTAGCGCACTCAAGCTTTGGAAATTACCAAACTTTGGCAACCATTTTTTGTCTCATTAATTCTACCTCTGACACCAGTAATCCCCTCCTCCTTCGAGATAGACGGGTATTTTTTTTCAACAAAAGCAAGAAAAAATTAACAAGCTTTAAGATGACTATAGTAACTTCATGCGCCCAGTAATGCTGCGACCCATCTGCCTTCTTCTTCACTCAAATCACAGGGCCCTACATGTCAGCTCCACATTCATCCAGTTGTGCCTTCTTCTTCTTGATCGAATCATACTTAAAGACCATTATCCATCATACACAGGGCTGTCCTGATTGGTTCCCCAGTTGACAGGTACAAATTCTGAAGTTAAGTTTAGTTTTAGTAGAGATTTTACGGCGCTCGCAACTGCATAAGGTCATATGAGCGCCAGAAGATTAGAGGTGTTACAAGAGAGTAACAAACATAGAAAAGAAGAAGGGGAGATAAGGACGATAGATGTTTGACATGAAAGAAGAAGCAAACCACACCAGAGCACCCACCAACAACCCACAGATTCTGCAGTACATCACATCAGAACTATTTTGTCCAAAGTGCCTCTTTATTTAAGTACACTTTGGACTAAACAGTTCTGAGGCAACATGTAGTTTAATGGGGATGGCTGTTTCCTTTCTTTGGGTTCTGTGTGTCCTGCACTGCTGGAAGATGTGTGCCATAGTTTAGTCTGCTTCTCCACACTGACATTTTGGTGATTGTACGAGTTAAAAATATTCGAGTATGTGATATTTGAGTTTAGTGTGATGTGTTCTTAACAAGAAGATAATCACCAGCACATCCAAATGTATCGAGTTGACAGATAAACTTGTTCAAAAACAAAAATCTACCCAATGCTGGGCTCATTCAAAGACATGCCAGGAGTAATAAATATTGAAACAGTAACATGTTTTACAGTCTTATTGACACAATTTAAGCTTACCTTTGGGTTGACAATGATTTCCATGTGTAGTGTTGCCTCCTCCACGTTTCTCTTGATGGCCTCTAAGCTGATCCACAAGTTATTTGTGTTGAAAATTCTGTTGAAGTAGATGGACAGGGATGCAATAAGGATCTAATCAACATAATAATGACCAATTTCGACCTAGGCAGGTGAACATATTGGGAAAAAGGAAAAAAAGACCAAAAAACCTCGATATGTACATTGAGGTATTGCTATTTCAGAACTTTTGCAGTGCACGAGCACATAGAATTGGCTTCCTTGCAGGGATATATGCTGTACAAATGCTATTTATTATCATTATTAGGGATTTCCACAGCATCCAAGAAGGTAAATCATTGTAAAACTGTATGAGGATCACCCTTCTTTGCCAGGTGAAGAGGACACGTAAAAATACAGACAAACACAAGAGCTATTCTATGATAAGTGAAACTGCAGTAATGCATGAAACACCTGCTGAAAAAATTTTGTTCTCAGCAGAGACAGAGGTGTTCTTTGTGTATCTTTTGTAAGAGGTAGGTTGCATCTAAACAAAACAAAAAAAGAAAAAGAAAAAGAAAAAGAATGGCTCTATTACTGCTTGAATTTCTTCCCAGCAAGTCATCACCTCAGTGTTACGTGTGTCACTGCAGATTCATTTTTCATGAGACGGCCTACAAACAAAAATGAAGAAAATCAAGAACCACCTCAACCCTTTAAGTATCAATTTTTGTAAAAAGCCTTACGGCACTTACAACACAAAGAAATTATTTGAATTCCACAAATCAAAGGTTTTACTACTAGAGAGTAACACACAAAGAAAAAAAGGAAGAGAGACAGGAATGATAGGTGTTTGACAGGAAAGAAACAGCTGACAATACCAGAGTTTTAGTTTTAGTAGAGGTTTTACGGCGCTTGCAACTGCATAAGGTCATATGAGCACCAGAAGATAATCACCAAGAGAGTAACAAACATAAAAAGAAGAAAGGGAGACAAGGACGATAGATGTTTGATAGAAAAGAAGATGCAAACCACACCAGAGCACCTGCCAACCACCCACCCATACCAGAGTGCCTGCCAACCCCTCAGTCAACCCCTACAGACAACACCAGGCTCTGACATCTTACACACATATATATATCTGAATCAACTCACTTGAATTTGCTGACACTCTTGAATTCATCAACCTGAAATCCAATAGAAGCAAACATGAAAGTCAAATTCACTGAACTAAAAAAGTGTATTTTCTAAGCTCAGTTTTCAGAAAGACATGTCATCAAATCCAATTTGTTCTTTGCAAAAAAGCGATTAACATAATAATCACACCGAAAAAAAATGGAAGGACAAGACAAAACCAGAGCACCCACCAACCACCCACAGTTAAAGCAAAAGGAGTCATTAAATTTATTGAAAGCTACAAAATATGAAACTCATGAGTAGGGTTCTTAGGCTACTGAAGCACAAAATTTTCATCTCTAAGAGTTTCATGAAAGGAATGAAGCACAGCACACTAATGTTCAGTTTTAACCCTTCCAGTCCAGGCCATTTTTGTGCAGTCCCTAACCCCAGTCCCAGCCAATACAGCAGTATTTCAGAAAAAGAGGCATGCATTCTTAAAAGTGATGAAGTATCTTTGTAATGAGGTTTAGATAATAACATATAACAATGTTTAAAGGTAAATGAACAGAAATTATGAAAATAAAAGTTTAATCAGGTTCATTAATTTAGAAAAATGCGCAAATTCGGTACCCCCGGAAACTGATAATATACGCTCTTGGGACAGTAGGAGGTACAAACCCTGCTGAAAATATACACGCATGGGGCTGGAAGGGTTAACTCATTCCATGCCAGGGTAAATCCCTCATATTGCTTCACGTAATAAAGGAAAATGAAGGAGGATTGCAAAAAAGTAAATAAAACTGAAATAAATGGCTACAGAAAATAAATTTATGCATGGCAAAAGTGATGCATAAAACAAAAGATGAAAGGCGTATCAGCAGTACATCATAGATTGGCACAGCTGCTGTTATCTTAGTTGGGTACTCAAACATGTAGGGGATTGACAATTAATGTGTTCCACACATCCAGAATTTTGGGTTAACCAATATAGCAAAATGGTAAAGAGATATCAGTCAGGTGATTTATACATTTTTTTTTTCGTGTTACCTGTGTCCAACTGCATATTGCGGAAATATCGTGGATTGGCGTGAAAGGAGTTAATTGAACTGAGGCCTATTAACATGATAACCATCTCTCTCTCTTTCTCTCTCACCCTCTCACAGGGAGGAAAAAGCAAAAACAAAGGAGCTACAATAAAGAAGCAGGAGCCTCCCCCCCCCCCTCCCCGTCGTGTCCCACTACACATGCACAGTGCACTAGGTCATTAATTTTACTTTACTTTTCCGATCCAGTGGCTAAGTAAGTAGTGAGTTTAGACTCAAGTAATGTCAAGCAAGTGTCGGTGACACGGGGATCAGATCGGCGGTCACTGGAGTATGTCCTTGATCAAGACACGACAACCTTAGCTGAAAACACAGGGCGCTGCACGGTGTCGACCGCCAAAGGCAGGGTTGTAAACCGTTCTGTATTTGTGTAGTAATGAGTACTTATGTAGGCCTATGCATTTGTGTAAGTATTTATGTATGTACTTATTTAAAATTATGTATTTATGTATGTATGTATGTTTGCCATTGTAAACCAAAGTGCCCTTCTGGGACAAAATAAGAGATAATTTTTTTAATTAAAAAAAAAAAATCTGAGTTCTAGCCCTTCAGTCGAAATGGTGAAGAATATTCACACTAGGTCATTAAAACCCCTACACCAAAGACTTACGTGATCTGAGGGGACTTGGGCAAACTCCAGCAGCCTGAGTTTCCCCTCGTACTCGATGAGAGTACCTCCCTTGACGTCGGCTCGCGTCTTGTCTGTGACCTCCATCAGGAACTCGGGGGCAGGAGTGTTGGCCGGGTTTAACAAAAAGTTGAGAATGTCTGGGACCAGTCAAAGAATCTTTCTTAATCTAGTATTGTAATTGTAAATGGGTTTGTTTCGCTTTTGTAAGCCATTGACTTGACACAATTTTGATCATTTAGGAGGAGCCAAGCTGTAATATTTTACTTCCTTTTGGATAATTACTAGAGAGGACGACACACAGCCAATCAGAAACAGCCCACATTTTGGTCCTGGTGCAGAGGGGAACATTAAAATAAAATGAAGAGTGTGAGTACACTGACATCTTTTGATTTTTGTTTCAGTAGAGGTTTTACTGCATTCACAACTGCATGAGGTCATATGAGCGCCAGAAGATTAGAGGTGTTACAAGAGAGTAACAAACATAAAAAAGAAGGAGGGGAGATAAGGACGATAGATGTTTGATAGGAAAGCAGAAACAAACCACACCAGAGCACCCGCCAACCACCAAAAAATAGACAACTGTGGTCAAGGATACTGAGGTCCACCGTGGCTCCCATGTTGTCAATGTTAGAGATAAACACATACTTCTTGCCCTCTTTGATGAACTTGTCCAGCAGACCTGAGTTGTACAGAGAGTAGTACACGTCACCGTGACCTGGGGGGTACCACCTGGGGGGGCAAGACACACAGATTAACATAATTCAGGGGGGGGGGGGGAAGGGGTGCAGACAAGCATATAAACATGTCTGAGAGGGAGAAGAGAGAAAGATGGGGGGGATGAGGGGTGAGGGGAGGGAGGGAGGGAGGGAGGGAGGGAGGGAGAGAGAGAGAGAGAGAGAGGGAGAGAGAGACAGACAGACAGACAGACAGACAGACAGACAGACAGACAGACAGACAGACAGACAGACAGACAGACAGAATAAAAAAGAAACCAAGACAAAAAAAAAAGTAAGGAAAGACAAGACAATAGAACAATGTTAGGAACCAAAAAAAGCCAAAGAAAAACCTGAAAAAATTCCATTTTGAGAGAAATACAAAATTTCTCTTGCCAAAACTTTTCCCTAAGGATACTGGAACAGAAAATCTCTCCCACTTATTTACATGCCATTATGCTTGCCAAAACTTTTCCCTAAGGATACTGGAACAGAAAATCTCTCCACTTATTTACATGCCATTATGCTTGCCAAATCTTTCCCTAAGGATACTGGAACAGAAAATCTCTCCACTTATTTACATGCCATTATGCTTGCCAAATCTTTCCCTAAGGATACTGGAACAGAAAATCTCTCCACTTATTTACATGCCATTATGCTTGCCAAATCTTTCCCTAAGGATACTGGAACAGAAAATCTCTCCACTTATTTACATGCCATTATGCTTGCCAAATCTTTCCCTAAGGATACTGGAACAGAAAATCTCTCCACTTATTTACATGCCATTATGCTTGCCAAATCTTTCCCTTAGGATACTGGAACAGAAAATCTCTCCACTTATTTACATGCCATTATGCTTGCCAAATCTTTCCCTAAGGATACTGGAACAGAAAATCTCTCCACTTATTTACATGCCATTATGCTTGCCAAATCTTTCCCTAAGGATACTGGAACAGAAAATCTCTCCACTTATTTACATGCCATTATGCTTGCCAAATCTTTCCCTAAGGATACTGGAACAGAAAATCTCTCCCACTTATTTACATGCCATTATGCTTGCGAAATCTTTCTTTTAGAGCAGCACAACCAACTTTTGGAGGAAAATAGACGTGAATACGAACTAAAGTCATTCGAACCCACAAACTTAAGAAAGTCACACGGTACACTCACCCTTCATCACTTTCTGAGAAACTCCTAGCCATCGGCATCAGGGTGTCTCTGTTGATTCTCGGGTATCTGGACAGCAGAGAAAAAAAGTAAAAAGATAAAAAAAAAACTTCAACTAATAAAACAACAGAAGGTGTGGAACACGAGATATTTCATACAAGGCAGGACTTCAACAGCCATTTAGTTTAGTTTTTGTTGGAGTTTTACAGCACCTGTAACATATATAGGTCATATATGTGTCAAAGATTAGAAGTCTTACTGGAGAGTGTAATACAAAGAAAAGAAGGAGAGAGGAGGACAATAGATGTTGAAGGAGCAAACCACACCAGAGCACCCACCAACCACCACTTAGAGCAAAAAGATAAATTTTAATAAATGAAACAATGGCATTTCTCAATAATATATAATAATAAAACAAATTCCTCCCACTGTTAACCACACTTCTATATCTAATTTTCTTTGACCAGTATCTGATAAACCCTCAAAAGAAAATAATGATACAACTGAAAAAAGAAAAAAAATGCTTGGTCAAATTCCTAAATCACACAGCTGCCATTGTCTGCTGTGTACTGGTTAGGTTCCTCACCATTGCACATAGAAGATGTGAGTTTGATTACAGAGAGGGAAACTATTTACAGTGGAAACCTGATATAACAGGGATGGTATGACCAGAGAAAAAGTCCTGTTACATCAGGTCCCTCTTAAATAAGAAATGCAATGGAAGTAAGCATGTGTGGACTAATCCAGCTGTATTTATTCATGAGTAGTTTCCCTAGCCACAAGTACCACGAACACTGCATGTGCTTGCAGTGGCAGATTAGAGGTGTTACAAGAGAGTAACAAACATAAAAAAGAAGGAGGGGAGATAAGGACGATAGATGTTTGATAGGAAAGCAGAAGCAAACCACACCAGAGCACCCGCCAACCACCAAAAAATAGACATCTGTGGTCAAGGATACTGAGGTCCACCGTGGCTCCCATGTTGTCAATGTTAGAGATAAACACATACTTCTTGCCCTCTTTGATGAACTTGTCCAGCAGACCTGAGTTGTACAGAGAGTAGTAC